TGCAAGATGGTATTTCCACACATTAATGCCAAAGCAAGAACCTAGATTTACCCTCGGCTCCTTCATTTTTCACCATCATCATCATCATCATCATCATCATCAAACCCATCACTGAGGCTTGTTAAGTCTACCGCCCAAAGGCTTTCCAAATTCATTTCTTCTACTCTATCTTGAATACAGGCATACCTCATTTTACTGGGTTTCACTTTATTGTGTTTCCCAGGTGTTGCATTGTTTACACACTGAAGGCAAGACCCTTCGTCAACGAAGTTATGACTTGCTTTGTAATATTTGCTTTATAGTGGTGGTCTGGAACCAAACCCTCAATATCTCTGAGCTATGCCTGTACTCACTATTGCTCTTTTTACTAAGATCCTGCAATGCCCTGCCTTCTAAATTGTCTCTGATCCCAATCACTTCTCCTTAAATCACGTTCTATTCTGGCAGATTTGGCTTTCTAAAACACTATCTGATCCTATCTCCTTTAACTGTCAATCCATAAATGTTAAAATAAACAAGTGAAAGAAATAAATGACTTCTTCCTTTAACAACTATAATAATCACTTTAACTACTATAACTGTTATCTAAAACTGGTCCTCCTGCCTTGTGGTTATCAGCCTCTGAATCTATACTGTATACAGTCACCATATGATTTTTCCTTAAGCTTAGCTCAGTTTATGTCACTTCTTTGCTCTTAAACATTCAATAATTTCTCTTTATCTACTAGATGGAGTCCAAATTCCTTAGCCTGAATCTAAAGCTAGCCCCAATCTGCCCATACAGCAATTCTGCAAAGTCAGTATTTTATGCACCATCTAAACTAGACTATTTGCCACTTCCTGAACACAATTTGAACTTTCTAGCCTCTCCATTTCTATTACATTGTTCTTTCACATGGAAAGCCAGCTTCTCTATCTGCCCTGTCGATTTATTAAAGCCTAGTCAATATCACTCCATCTATGAAGCCATCATTAACAAGAACAGCTAAAAGTAACTTCTCTCAGCCTTGGATTCCTTAATATTGTTTTTACCAACTTGTCTTTAATCACAGATTGAGGGGGGTGGAGGGAGAGAGGGAGTGTATATCACCTCACCTATTATGAGAAGATTCCTGAGGACAGACTGAGATCACAATCACAAAATATGCATTCTGTGCTCCTTTATAGCATCGAATGGTATTTTGTACATCGTGCTCAAAGTATTGTAATCTTTGGCCTTCACTGAGAAAATCCTTAGAAAAATCAAAACTTACTTACTTTAATGGGACAGTCAAAAGTCTCATGAAATTCTTCTCCAGAATACAGTCCAAACACCTGCACCTAAAAGTTAATAGATCCATCAGTTCACCATGACATTAACAATGAAGGCTGCTGAGTCAGCGAGAACACATAATTTCAAAAAAATAAAAAGTAAAAGAGCATTTAATAATCTAAAGCCCTTGTGGATCTCTAAAAATATCCAATGAAAACAATTTTATCAGGATGAGAGTACTCCACTGCAATTAAGCTTTTAAAAGTATCCTATGGATAGAGTTCCCTTTAATATATTTTATTCAGTATTTAATATACTTTCTGTGTGTAGAGCTTTTCTTACAAACTGACACATGCATAGTTTTGTTAATTGGCTTATATGACGTATACATGAATATTGTTTTCCAATGTAAATACCTTGTGTGTATTTTATGTGCTTTTTCCCTTAGGTCGATATTCTATGGGTGGACAAATTTG